TGTCTTCTGGAACACTATTCTCCAACCTCTTGTGCAATTATGGTTAGTCTCAAGATCCCTAAGTTAGTCACATGTGCAGACCCTTTTACTATGTGCTGACTTCACAGGCTCAGGGATTAGGCTGTGAACATCAGTTGTTTGGTGGGAAAATGTTCTTCAACCTATCTCAGCTTGTTACTTTGTAATATCTTAAAGCATATTTATTTTTCCTCAGTTGTGGCTTAAAATCCAAGTTCATAGTACTTTCTCAGTACTTTCACAGTTGAAAACTGTGCCTGATTATCTTCCAGCCAATAAGAAGCTTGATGCCAGTCTGACTCTCATTCCTTAATGTATGACTTGACTTTTTTGATTTTTTTTTTCCCTCTGTGCTTCTCAGATCTTTTGTTGTTGGTTATTATCTCTGCCCTAAGTGGCCCATACACTTAATTCATGAGTATCTAGTTCAGTGTACTTACTATTCATACGCACACAAAAAAGTAATAGGGCTGTTAATTTATGCAAAATGTTTTCCAAATTTTAGGTCCCTGCCCATTTAAATAAATGATAATAATAAGGAAAAATAGATAAAAGAGAATACAAATTTCCTTACAAGTATGTGCTTTATTAAAAATGTTTCAAACATGGGCTGGCAAGGTGGGCTGGATTCAGTGGGTAAAGGTACTGGCCCCGTTCAGGTCCAGCTGATGACCTAAATTCAATCCCTAGAGCCACATGATGGAAGAAGAAAACCAGCTCTTACAAGTTGTCCTCTGGCCTCCACACTGGCGCTGCCGTGGTGTTGTTATACCCAGTTCGCGAGCCCCCAAAAGATCTACAGGAATTTACTCCGTTGCAAAACACATGAGGGTCTTTTTATTGTAAATTACAAGCTGCAGCTTGGGCCCACAACACCCACCGCCGAAGCGGTGGGAGCTGAGCGCACCATCCCCAGGTTAGTTGGGTGATTTATAGATTCTGGTCCCTCCCAGCATGCCCAAGGCAGGGACAATTCCTGCCTGGCAAGCATCTGTTGGTCAAAGTGCTACATTTTGAATTGATTGGCTATAGGAAGGTTCCCAGACCGTAATGACCTGGTGTCCCTCCCTAGGAGGATCGGCCAGTTTCCTAGCAACTGTATCTTAGTGGGTGGGGAAAGAATGCAGTAAGGCGGTCCTTCCCCTCAGGGCATTACTGGACTCCTTCACCCACCTAGTTCAGGCCTTAATAGCAGCTGCTAATTTATCTTTTGGTCTCTCATTGTCTATATGTCCCTTCTATGCCCCCCAATTATAAACTTTAATTTCTCTTTAAAAGTTCCCAGGAACACTACCTTGGCATGTGTTTGTTTTGTGAATTAGGGCCTGGCAGTTTCACATTAAAAATTATGCTAAGATATAAAATGGACTAGAAAAGTATTTCTTTTTAGATTTAATGTGTGTGCGTGTCCCATGACAACTTCTGTTGAAAGTACTGAGAATGTGGCTAGTTTGAAATGAAGAGTGGCCTGGGCACTTGCTTGTGTAGAGCCCTGTTTGCTGTGAGATGGAATGTTAGCTGTAGGCTGCTGTGGCTCCTAGCTGGGATTCAGCCTGAAAGACGTGTTTTTTTCCTCTCAACAAATATCATCTTTGTTTGAGTGTCCATAGTCCGTGTAACCACATTGAGGCCTTCTCCCATTCCGAAAAAGAAAGAATGCATCTCAAGCGTCTTTTCTTGTGCTTATTTCACAGTTTAAGTAGAGCCGCACCCATCTTTTGTTTCTGTCAGTTCTCACACAGTAATGAAACCTTGGAGTAGATAGACCAGTGTTCTATGAGGACCGAATCAGCAGTCAGCTTCCAAGGCCAGCCTGGTTGTCTAAGAAAGGGTAAAGTGCTTTTAAAGCTGGTGTTCTTTTCTGTACTTACTACACTCCTAAGTATTCACAAGGAAAAGGCAGTCTGCTGTCAGTGTTTTATGGGATTGAATTGCAGATTTAGAAATGTTGTAATGTTAGTCCTCTGTCAGATAAAGGGTTAGTGAAGATTCTTTCCCAATCTGTAGGCAGGCGTTTTGTTTTGATGACAGTGTCCTTTGCTTTACAGAAGCTGTTCAGTTTCATGAGGTCCCATTTATTGATTGTTGCTCTTAGAGCCTGTGCTGTTGGTGTTCTGTTCAGGAAGTTGTCTCCTGTGCCAATGAGTTCTAGGCTGTTCCCCACTTTTTCTTCTAACAGATTTAGAGTATCTGGTTTTATGTTGAGGTCTTTGATCCACTTGGACTTTAGTTTTGTGCAGGGTGATAAATAGAGATCTATTTTCATTTTTCTGCATGTGGACATCCAGTTGGACCAGCACCATTTGTTGAAGATGCTGTCTTTTTTCCATTGAATGGTTTTGGCTTCTTTGTCAAATATCGAGTATTCATAGGTGTGTGGGTTTATTTTTGGATCTTCTATGTGGTTCCATTGATCCTCCTTTCTGTTTAGGAACTCAATGGCTGGCTCTTTGGCCTCCCCACCCCCCAAGGGAGGAGCAGTCCTGTTAGGCCACAGAGGAGAGCTTTGCAGCCAGTCCTGAAGATACCTGATAAAACAGGATCAGATGAATGGGGAGGAGGTTCCCCCCTATCAGTGGACTTGGCAAGGGGCAGGGTGGAGATGAGGGAGGGAGGGAGGGACTGGGAGGGAATGAGGTATCGGGACACGGCTGGGATACAGAGTTAATAAAATGTAACTGATAAGAAAAAAAAAAAAGGAATGTTGTAATGTGTGTTTTTAAAGAATGCAGTTCAAGTAGATATTTATTCTTAAAAGATTAGGGGGATTTAAATGATTTAGACATCAAGTAATGTCCAGTTTTAAAATGCTTCTGAAAATACTGTAGTTGTCATTTTCTTTCATAAATTTGGGTCTAGAGATATTTTTCCCATATACTTGAGTATTAAATATTTAGTAAAGTAAGGGGCTGTTTAAAATAGACATTTCTCACATTTCTCCACAGTTTTACTTTTAAGGATAGGGATTTTTTTTTTAACATACTTTTTAAAAAGCCATGTTGAATTGTTCTTAAATCATACAATATTTGGGCAATAATTTTTTTCAAATAAGCTTATTTTTATGGATGTATCATGAAAGTGGGACACAAATTTATAGTGTAAATAATGCAATAACCCCCTGTTTGAATTTTTGTTTGCTGACGGCGTGTGATAGAAGCAGTAGCACAGGTGTCATTGTTCAGTAGCTGCCCAAACTTCTGCACACTTCTACAGACATGGGGTGGCTGTTGTTCTTTGTGATCAGAGTTTTAGGGTAAATTGTTTTCACAATGAAAATTTTATATAAGCAATCTAGTATATGCCATAAGATTATCAACTAATACGAGAGATCAGGAGACACAACTTAAGCAGATTGACTGTGCTATGGGTGACTACCAGGCAGTATGAATTAGTAATGTCTACAAATTCAGCCGTAGAAAAGCTAGTATTTCCTTTTAGTCTGTTAAAGGAAGCATATTTGGCTATAATTTATAAGGTTAGTTGCACCTTTAATGTACTTTCTTTCTAGAATATGTTTATTTATGTTAATATAATCTTCTTTCCAAAGAGACACACAAGGATAGGACATTTATTGGGAAATTCTTAAAACTTACTTATTTGCCTACTTGTTACTTTCTTAAAACTTACTTATTATTTATTTGCTATAGTAAACTGTTTTGATCATGTTAAATAAAGTACAAGATCATTCTCTTAAGAAACCAAGATTCAGTTTCATTTGATTCCAGAATGATCTCTGCTCTTTAGCCTGACAGTGATCTCAGTAAAGGTTCGTAAGGAGCAGCTTGTCCAATCTGTTTGCACTCCGAGGATTTCTGACACAAGAAAGAAAAGTTCTAAAGTGTAAAGGAAAGAATAGGAAACAATGTAGGTGAAAACTGAAATGTCAATAAGCCAAGAAAACATTGGACAAGCCGCTCCTTACGAACCTTTACTGAGATCACTGCCCACAATGAGCTGGCTCCTCCCATATCAATCATGAATTAAGAAATTGCCCCACAGGTGTACCTCCAGATGGAGACTGTTTCTCTGTTGAGATTTCCACTTTATCTGTAGTTTGTTTCAAGTTGACAAGACAGAAGGAAACAAACACCTATTCATCATTCTCCCCAAGTTGTTCTGGGTCAGAATGTTTTATCACTGCAATAGAAAGCAAACTAGGACAACTTATACATATTTTATTTTTAAGCAAACATAAAATAATGTTTCCTTTGGCTTTTTCAACATCCTTAGTGTTATTTATCCTTTCTCCCTCTCTCTTTCATTGTATTGCCCTGCCTCTCACTTTCCAGCTAAATCCTCCCTTTCCCTTTTTTATCTGAAAACTTAAAGCTTTTCATTTTGGTTTCTATTCCCTATTTCTATGAAATTTTAAATTCTAAGTTGGTTCTTGAGTACTGTATTAGTTTCTTTACTTGTCACTGTGGCCAAATACAGCATGAGGAGAGATATGTTTGTTTTGGCTTACGGCTTCAGGGGAATGGCTGGGAAGGCAGGGTGGCCGGATCATGTTGCAGAGCCCTCTAAAATGGTGCTAAACCAGCAAGCAGAGAGAAAGGCTAGGCTGAGCTCTATGATCAAGGCCTGCCTCTGTCTCCCCCACCTCCCTCTGCCAGTCAAGGTTCTGTGTCCCAAAGGTTCTACAGTCTCCCAAAACAGCACAACCAGCTCAAACCAAATAGTCAGACATGAACTTGGGAGGCGTGTGTGTGAGGAAAGCACACATACAAGAAGTTAAGACCACAAGAAGGACTTAGATTTGTTGTGTTGTGAAGTATTTGCTGTATTAATAAATTTACACTCTTTGAATTTATACCTAGCATTGAAGTGGTAGACCATTTGGTATTCTAAAGCTACACCTAAGTCATCGTTTTGATTTTATTACTTTTTCATTGTAGGCCATCTTGCTTTTATGTTTTATTAGTTTTGTGACTAGCTTTCTTATTCTCAGGATAACAGCCCATCTAAATTTGGTCTCTCCACAGATTCGGACCAGGATGCAGCACTCAAACTTGCTCAGGAACGAGCTGAAATAGTTGCTAAATATGACAGAGTAAGTATCTATATTTATTCTTTGAGTTGGTTTATTAAAAAATTCATATAAATAGAAAGGGGCTTGCCTTTTTGGAGAGCTGAAATAGCAAGGCGTTTGTTCTCTGTGAGAACTCAGTTTCTTTCTCTCATTTCAACTCATTTTTAACTTTCTCCGATTTCTCTGAAGATTCTCTCTCCTCTCTTTCTCTCTCTCTCCCCTCTGTCTTTCCCCTCCCCTTTCTCCCCCTCCCCTTCTCTTCTTTGTACCCCACACCCCTGCAGCTTCCTAGCTTGTGGCCTTGCTCCTGCCTCTGTGCCTGTGCACTGGCTGTGTCCTGGATTTTCATATCCTTCCTCAGGTTCTTCTCTCCTCCTCTTCTTTTCTTCTCTTCTTTCTCTCCTCCTTTTTTAAGACAGGGCTTCTCTATGTAGCCTTGGCTGTTTAGACCAGAGATCTCCTGCCTCTGCCTCTGAGTGCTGGGATCACCGGTGTGCGCCACCACCCAAGCTGATTCTTCTTTTTCTCTGCAGCTTTGTTCATCATGTTAGGATGGCACTCTTTATTGCCAGCCTAATACCGGTCAGTTACTTCGGTGTTTGATGTATTTTGCTTGTCATCTGCTCTTTCTTCTAGAATAGAAACTCTTTGGGATCTGAAATTTATTTTGTTGATATGTTTCTATAAACTAAATACCTGGAATAATTTTTGACTCGTAACAGTTACTTAATAAATACTTGAGTAAGTGAATATATAGAATTAAATAATCTTATGAATAGCTTATATGTGCTTGGTCAATTTACTGTAAATCTCAGATTCTTTTTGTTTCATATAAATTTAATTTTATCTAGCGTTTTGCCATATGTCATAATAAAATTTATTTTTAAATTTTCTAATATATTTTTATTAATTCTTTGAGAATTTTATACATATATACAATATATTTTGATCATATCCATCCCTATTTCTCCTCCCAAATCCACTCTGCACCTTGTATTCCTACTCCCAAGTAACTTTCTTTTCCCCTTCCTTCCTTCCTTCCTTCCTTCCTTCCTTCCTTCCTTCCTTCCT